GGGGGTGGCTCCAATGGACAGGAGGCTCCTGGTGTGAAGGCAGGGTTCCCATTGTGAAGGGGGGCTTCTAATGTGATAGTGGAGGCCCTGATGTTAAGGGGGACTTCTGATGTAAAGTGGGAACTCTGATATAAAAAGGGGCTCTTGACATGAAGGGGGGTTCCTGATGTGAATGGGGATCAAGCTCTATGGGACTGCCTCCACCCCAAAAAGTAATCAAATAGATCACAGGAGCAGAACTTTTCCTCATGTGTCACAACTGCAAGAAGGTTTTGTCAGATCACACTTAAATGTTCCCATGTGCCCATGTGAATTAAAAGCTAGCAGACCCCATAATTAGTTAGAATTCTTTTAACAGGAACAGATGTTGTTTTATAAAACTGTTTTATAAAACTGCAAAAGGAATAGGTCTAGTGGCCAGATTACACTCAAATAACTGCTTAGACAGTGAGAGCTAAGAAGGATTTTTCAGCACTGGAGTTAGAACGATGAACATCTAAAAAAAGGTTACCTGCAATTTTTATATTTAAGTTATTTTTTAAGTTATGCTATGTGAATAAGAACATGTAACAGATATAAAGAAGGTGTTATCCCAATTTGGCTGCAAAAGTAGAAATACACTTTAAGTGAAAATTGAGGTGGGCTCTAGCTGACTTGCTGCTGCTTCTAATGCACACTGAGAAGCTCACACTGTGCACCGATGTCAGAGTAAACAATTTCTGTACAGGAGAGAAGCCTGTACAACTCTGCCTGACTGAAGAAAAGGCTTGAATTCAGCATTATAGCTAACCTGAACTATTGGGCATAAAAATGACAAATATATTCCAGTGGTCAGTGATCATGATGAGTGTGGATTAAGAGGCAGGTGGGGGGGTCGGTGCAAAATTCCAAGCCATTAAGCTGGGCCAATTTATCAGAGCTCCCAGACATTCTGAAAACCAGAAATACTCTGTTCAGAAATAGAGCTGACATGCATATACCTGGAGGAACCTTCTATGTGCCGCAAGTGCTGGATTGGAAGTTGGTCTCACTTTAACAATGTTGTACTACTTTTTAAATATCTCATACTGTGCAATTATGTATCCGTTACAGATATCATAGAAAAACTAGGACACTTTTTTTTTTTTAATAACTGAGTGCTTCATTTAAGTGTTATATTTCTTATTACTAACTGATCACATTATGTAACAGTGTGGAAACAACATCCAAATCAAGTATTGCATGCTGAATGCAAGGCGTTACTTCATTGTATCACATTCTTATCCTAAGGCATGTCATTCTGCCCAGAAATTCAGAGGGTGGGAAAGTATTACAGAATGAAGACACAAAACACACTCCTGCTGGCTTTTTTCAAACTCTCATAAAATGGATATGCTTTTATTCAAGTGATTGTATCATTTACACCCTAAATGTTTAAATGTTCAGTGTTTCTTTACCATGTATGTACTTTTAGAGAACATTGTTAAATTACACTATTCTGCTACATCTTTTCCTCAAATACCTGTGCTCCTCTTGTTAGTTGCCTGGCTTCCTCTTTATACCTACAAATGACACAAAATCTACTGATGCAAAATCAAGAACTTGCACATAACAGTACAGATAAAGGGATGGGAACTGGGCAACCTCTAGCAGTCTGGAATGTTGAAGCCAGCTAACATTATAGCACATTAGGTGAGTCATGTCTTTTTGTGGAGGAAGTTTATAAAAGTGTTCTGCAGAACAGTGAGATCTCTGCTCATGAGTTGAAACATGGAAGGTGCTCCCCCCAGAGAAGCAAGATCTCTGGTCATTAACTGAGACATAGAAGGTGCTCCCCCAGAGGAGTGAGATCTCTGGTCATTAACTGTAACATGGAAGGTGCTCCCCCAGAGGAGTGAGATCTCTGGTCATTAACTGTAACATGGAAGGTGCTCCCCCAGAGGAGTGAGATCTCTGGTCATTAACTGTAACATGGAAGGTGCTCCCCCAGAGGAGTGAGATCTCTGGTCATGAGTTTAAACATGGAAGGGGCTCCCCCAGAGAAGAAAGATCTCTGGTCATGTGCAGAGACATGGAAGGTGCTCCCCCAGAAGAGAAAAACATCTAGTCATGAACGGAGACATGGAAGGTGCCTCCCTGAGAACATCAAGAAGCCCTGAGTAGTGCAGTAGGGACAGAGAAGGTGGAACCTTGTCGCTGGTACACAGAACAGGTTGTGAAACCTGGCAAAGCTACAGGAAACAAGGGCTCTGTCACCAGTTCAGGATTCTGGAAATACATACATTATTATGACAAAAGCTTCACGTTCTCTTAGATGTGCGGTCTTACAAAAATCACTGGGGCCAATTTACTAAGGGCCAAGAGAAAGCATAAATTGCTATGGTACGCTGGTATTGTGGCATCACAGGAGTATGCCTAAATACACAAACATAGTAAACATGACCACTGAGCGTATCTAGCAAATTGTACATGGATGTTCAAATGCGTATTCACTGTTTGGCATGCATTTAACATCCAAAAAATGCTGTTGTTGTATCTTTTGTTCTGATAAGGTGCACCAAGGAATTCATTTGTTAACATTTTACCTGAAAATAATAATTAAAAAAAAGGATAGCAAAAAAAGCAGTCTAGCAACAGGTATTAATCATTGGAACCTCCATTCCAAGCAGTTGTGTACATGTGCTTGTTGTTGTAGTTCACACTTCTACAGTCTGTGTGCATTGTGCCAACACATCACAATGGACAAATGAATGGACATGCACCTTTACTGCTGGCGCACTGGCACGTTGCACCACAACACACATTATATACACTGTAGTGCACTGCCATGAGTTGCCAGCTACTGTAAAAAGTGTTAGGGTGCCATACACAATGAAGGACACTGCATTTAGAACTATACATTGTGATAATGCACGTTACAAATGTGTATTTGCATGCATATTAACTCAACACAGCACGGACTTAAGGTTCGCACATGCTAACAACATTTAGATTAAATAGTTTAATTTTCATATTTAAAATATGAATTGCCCATTTAAGAAATGCAGCTTTTGCAATACTCTCTTACTCTCCAACACTGTCTACCAAAGACTCTCCCCTCTGCCCTGCTTTGGGATCCTCTCCAGGGGTCCAATGTAACCATTCAACCCACTTCCTGGGAGCCCAGGGTGTCATGGACACATCCTTGGATGCAATCTTTTCTTAAAGAAAATCACCACCACAGGTTTCAAAATTATCATACCAAAGCTATTTTATTCTTATTGACAAAAAGCAGCATATAAAAACTTATCTTGGCATATTGGCAACGTTAATCAAGCCTTTTTCAGCACTGATCTTTCATTGTGCTGACTGCTATAAGCTAAGGAAACATGATATCTGCTTGCTTCCTGATAAAATGCAGCACAAATATGAAGTGAAAAGTTGCCAATTAATAACATCAGACTCCTTTCTGTACCTGTTTGTATCTCCAGCACAGGCTGATCATCAGGGATAAGTTGGATGACATCAGACACCACCACCTGGTGATAATTCTCTTCTGCCTCATCATCACAGGAGGATCTCTCTGTAGCTAAACAGATGCTACTTCCGAGTTCCCGACAGAGGAAGATGCTCCAGCAGTCAGTCATGAAAACTTGGTCTGCACCTGAGTGACATATGAAGATTTAGCAATAATGACGGCAAAGTTTGATGGCCACTTTATGCAGCACCTGACAATTAAGTCAGCATTGAACAAATGTTTATTTCAATGTGTTTTTGGTGATTTTAGACACTCCGAATGACCAAAGGCAGGAAAATTGTTGTTGCATAATTAAGCAGGAGAGCGAGTATTTAGCTGCTGCCTGTAAAAAAATCTTCCAACATTTTTACCTGACAGCAAGATGAAGTATCCAAGGTGTCATTATGAAACATTTTTTTTTTGCTTCCTCCTGGCCTAAAGTGGATTAAGGAAGCTTATTGTGAACTTGTTTCTACTTCTGTCATCATCAGCCACCTCCCGACTATTGAGTAAAATTGATCTGGGCTTCTGGGATTCCCAGGCTCTTCCACTCCTCCTGGGAGCCCGAGACCACAACAAGCAGTGTCAGGATGGCGAATGAGAGAACATCGAGGAAAATCCGTTCCCTGATGTCCTCTGAAGTGTATGAACATAGAAATGCTCAGCTCGGAGCATTTCCAGATTCAGAGCTGTCAAAAGCCAGGTAAACAGCATATCAAACACAGACTATGCTTGACCAGCTGAATTAGAGGGCAGACCCCCTAAGGTCTCCATGAAAATTACCTGTCACCTGCCCAATGCAATAACATTGGGGGGTTCTTAGCCCCCCTGTGATAGCAATAAAGTTAAATGTAAAAAAATCCTTAAAAAATTTAACTATACTAACATGAATAAATAAAAATTAAAAGCACTCCCATTGCTCTGTGCACACGCATATGTATGTAAATGATAACTGAGCAACCGATATTGGATATCATTGCGCATGCCAGAGTGCAAGAAATAATTTTAGGTCCCTCATTTATGGTTAACTCTAAAATCGATGAGCCGCAAAGAAATTTAAAACATCATCTATTGACAACTTTGGGTGCCGTTTCCCGAACACAGATTTGAGGCTGGACATATTTGTATCTATTTATTCAACACAACCTCATCTTTATTTTTTACCAAATGTGGGTATTGTATTGTGTTTGTGTGCAGTAAAATTAATTTTATTGCAACTTTTACTAAAAATAAAGATTTTAAAAAACAGTTGCAAAAAAAAAAAGAGAAAAAAAAGAGAGATAAAAAAAATCTAACTACAATTTTTTTTATTCCAAAGAGCCACTTCTAAAATATATAATGTTTTGGGTTTTGTCATTTTCTAGCCAAAAATGCAGAAAAAAAATTGCTCCTGTAGCTACGCGGTTAACAATCTAACAAAACTACACAATGTCACTAGTTTTCAGCAGTCTTTTTCCCCTATATTTGTCAGTTTTTGTCTATAAAATACTTATTTTCAGTTTGATTTTTGTCTGACAATTAGACAAGCTCTCCCAGCCAAATGTTCCTTTCTATTGTATGGTTAGTTTCTGAATGTCACAGAGCATGCATACATTTCATAAAGTTTAAAGTGAACCTGCATGAAATGTAAGAAAGCAAACTAGTAGCTTTAAAGTGACACTAAACTCAAGAGTTAAATCTTAAAAAAATGCAAGTACCTTAACTAGTAACAAAAATGTATCTTATGTGTGTATCACTTGGCTGTAGATCCTCAAATCATCTCTCTATTCATGCTGACACTGACCTTCCTTCTGGAGGGTGCTACTTTTGTTCTCCATGGTCTATAGAGAACAAAAGTAGCCATCCTCCAGAAGGACAGTGCCAGCACCAATTCAGAGTTGATTACAGTATTGTTAATTGCTATGGTACATGAATGCATTTTTATGATTTAACGCCCGAGTTAAGTGTCACTTTAACAGAGCTTTTGTTTTATTATCTGTTCATGCAGCACCGTCTGGAATGCTCCTACAGTGCCTATACTGACTTTATACTGACTCTGGGGGAACTATTGGCCACACCCCATCCTACTCCTTGGGGGCCTGCTGTTAGGCTACTCAGGCCTTGTTTATTGTATTATAGGTAAGAGGTGGCTAGGGGAGTGCCTCTTCTCCATTAGAGATTTTGTGAGAGCTCTTCCCAGTGCTGGACAGACACATAGCATAAACTGACATCTCCTACTCTTTGTTTTATTGTCTGCTAAAACGACTAGTTTGCTACAGTTGTGGTCATAAATTAACAAAACCCTGGCAAAAGAAATATGAATGATCAGCCAAAAACATTTCTTGTATTATTAATCTGATTTAAATTAAACTATTAGGCATCATGGAAGAGTACACTCAAAACTAACCATAGCAATAAAGGAAAATAATAAAGCAGTCCTGTTCAAAGTTTGCATATCCTTGGCTTTTTATAGTGTGTATTGTCCCCTACAACATTAATAGTGCCTTCCAGCCTTTTGTTGTGAATGAGGCCCGTTTTTTTCTCATAAGGCAAAGCTGCCCATTCTTCTTGGTAAAAAGCCTCTAGGTCCTGTAAGTTCTTTGGTTGTCTAGCATGAAAGGCATGTCTAATATTTCCTCAAAGTGGCTCAATGATGTTAAGGTCAGGAGATTGTGATGGCCACTGCAGAACCTTCACTTTTTTATGCTGCAGCCAGTAAAAGGTCCCTTATGTTTCCAATTATTTTAATGTTGGAAAGTCCAGGTGCTCAGTTTCAAAGCTAAAAAAAATTAATTTTTTTCTTGCTATCAATTTTGACTAGATCCTCTGCGGCGCTGTTAAGGTGCCCATACACCTTACGACCATCGCAAGACCTTTGTCTTGCGATGGTCGTAAGCTCATTGAAAGCTCGTACGATCTGCCTATCTTGGACAGGCAGATCATACTTGCGATCATCGAAAGCCCGCCCCGCTGAGGGGCGGGCTTCCAATGACTGCAGAGAGGGGCGGGCTTCCGATCACAGCAAACGGGCAGTTTGCGCGTGCGCACACCGGCCCGTTCGGCAGTTGTCGAACAAGGAGGCCACTAACCCGCCGAGAATCGTACGATTCTCGGCGGGTTTTCAAGCCTGCTTGTTTGACAGAAGACGTGCGACCGTACAGTAGAAATGGTCGCACGCCTTCCATACACTGTACGATTCTCGTACGATCGCGGGATTTCCCGCAATTCTCGTACGAGAATCGTACAGTGTATGGGCACCTTAAGTCTTACATCCCCCAAAACAGCACTGATCCACATTAAGGCTACATGGTAGGGATTATGTTCTTCTCTTGAAAGACCTTGTTGACTTTTCCATACATAATGTGTATGGCTTTGACGATAAACATTTATTTAATTGCAACCATTTGACATGATTTTTTCTGAGACATTAAGAACATTAGAAGTTTTAAGGCTTCTCTAGGTGCTTTTTGGCATATTCTAAGCAGCATTTTTCGTGAAGTTGGCACAGAAAATATGGCTAAATTTATGAGCACAACTCTATATATGAATCAATACATTAATATAAGTGCAGCGCTGTCAACCATCTAGTGCCAACAATAACTTATTAGTGAATCATAAGAAACTCAATATAGAAAGCAACATCAGTAAATCCAATTACATTTGAAAATAACAATACGTGAACAGTATAGTTCATGTAATGTTATTTTCACATGTAATTGGATTTACTGATGTTGCTTTCTATATTGAGTTTCTTATGATTCACTAATAAGTTATTGTTAGCACTAGATGGTTGACAACGCTGAACTTATATTTTTGTGATTTTCTAATTTGTAGTGTGTCTAGAACTATAAGCGCTATTGGTGTGAGATTATTTAATACACATTTGGTTTCGAACAAATACATTATTTACCACTTAACAAATATGAAGTGGTCTGAACAGCACTGTAAAAATGTGGTTGTCTCTCCAGTCTATATCTTCAGTAGTACTTTTGCTTTCTTAAGTGGCACAGTTTTTCATGTTCTTTGTCATGACTGATCCTGAGGACCCTGAAAAGCCAGCTACTATAGGTTGGTAAAGCAAAAATGACCAACTCTGTAACATTTTGCCAGAGTTACGTAAACTTATAAGCACAACTATAAAATACTTTTACCCACAGTATCACTTTAAAGCCAGATGTGATGATTTCTGAAAAGGAAAAAGTCAGCACTGCCTTTGACACTTAGGAGAAAAAGTACCTGAATTTTTGCAAATGTCCATTATCATAAAATCCTGTACTTAGAGAAATCTCTCTTGGCTTTTACCGCGGACTTTTTGAAAATGTTAGTTGTTTGGCTGTCTCTTGTTTCAATACTCTTAATTGTTAACTTGGCACAAGAATTGAAATCTACTGATCTCCATAAGTGCTCGAAGTCAGTGTCTCAAAAAAACTGAAAGCACTGGATCAGCATGACAGACAACTAGCCTCTGCAAAAAGAAGTCAGCAAACAAAAGAGAAGGTTCCCAGGTCCAACTGTTCGTATGTCTGTAGGCACTTTCCAATCTACCCTGAAACATCTTTTGTGAGGGGAATGAGTCATTCCTCTGAATCACTCCGCGGCCTGTATACGCTAAGCATTAGTGAACCATGGCCGATAATGGAGCGATCACTCAACATTCTACATGCTGGATATGCATATTGGATGAGTGATTCTATAAAAAGATACTTATTTTCAGTTTTACATCATTTATATAGACTGGCTCCTCCCTACTTCTCTTCCAGAACTGGTAGATCATGCCATTGGGTTCCAAAAAATGATACGCCCGCTCAGATCTAGAGAGCTCGGGCCGGCCGTTTTTTTACTACGGCCGGCCCGGACGTGGTTAAGTCATAGCTGTACAAATCCCAGAAGCCAGGGCTCCTTAAAAATGTTTAAAGTTTTCTTGCTGTTGTCAATGGAGCTGGCTCCTAAAAAAATCTGCTGGTACCTGGACTGGACAGATTTGCTCTTGGATTCCATATGAAAGCAGAACTAGAGCAACCAATCTAACGGCCTCAAAAAAACTGTGCGCTTAGTTCAGCTCTCAAACAAACTTTCAAGCCCTCAAATGGTCGGTGTCTCATCGGACAACAGATGATTACATGTGCAGCACCATGTCAACTGCATTCCAGA